ATCATGCAATCATTCCAGTAAAATTACATTTCTTCTTTCGCCTATCTTTCCGTTTTTTCTCTTTTTTTGCATCATTTTCCGGTTTTTCACTGTCATTTTTACACTTATTTTCAATTTTACTGATCGTCTAATCTTCGAAACTTCATTTTATTTTTTTTTCTTCAAATAAATGATGCCAAAAATTATATTATAATTATAAATTTTCAAAAATGGAAAGTTATTTTTGTTTAAAAAAAAAGTGGAGGAAAAAAATTGAAAATCGGGGAAAAAAATTAAGGAACATTTTTACTCAGCTTTATATTCATTTAATTTGAATAAGATAAATAAGTAAGCAGCTAATTATCTTTTCTATAAATTAAACAATGCAAAATTTATTATCAATGATAAAGAAAATTTAAAAGTGAAGAATGGCAAGCATAGAAAGAAAAGCAAAGCAAATATTGAGAAAGATCAAAAATAGGACAGTAGTGATAAATCTTTTCTAAAGAATTACCTTTGCATGATAAGAGCCAAGAAAAGTATGGGTTCATGAAAAAAAAAGTGTAAATTTTAGACTTTTATTTTACCTATCCATTTTATTAAATTCAAATTAGGACATTTTGTTGGAAATACAGAAATTCCAAAGTTTTAAAATGGAAAATGAAACGATTGCTCAGCTAGTGATTTCAATAATTTGAAAAGCTTTTTTCAAAAATTTCCACCTCTTTGTGATTTAAATTTCACTTTGACATTTGAATGGAAATTTTCACAAAATTCAATTTACTTCATGCTACTTACTATACATGATAATACGCTTTTACCGTTTCGAAATCTTTTTCAAATACCACTGATTGGATTATTGTATCCGACTGATACGGTTGATTGGGCGAAGTGAAAGAAGAAAGGATGCGAACCAGCTTGATTCCTTGTATGTGTCATAAAATTGGCAAAACTTTTTGAAATGAATGTCATCATACAATCTAATATATGTGTTTGCATGCAGGCGCTCAACCATATAACCCAATATAACAGATAATAATGGTCATGGTGACAAGTTATAATGGTAATGGTTGACAATAATCACGCTAATATGATAGGTATTGTTATTGACATTATTAATAATATTAAATCAATTTATGACTTTTTATTAATTTCCATTGTTCTAGTGCATATATGCTTAACATAACTGCAGTCTGAAGAGGAAAAAATTTCCTCTAATTGAAATTAAAATTTTTGAAAAACTCGCAGTGAGCAAACAATATTCCTTATCGTCTTCTTTTTTTTTTTCTTGGTTCAATATTTTATCTTTTCTATATATTTTATAAAAATTAAATTTTCATATAATCATTTATTCTCAAAAAAAGAATTGTATTCTTGACTTAATTAATATTTAAGTAAAACTGATAATGATAACAAATTAATATCATTATTTAGAGAAAAGAAAAGTTTTATCAAAGAAATGAAAGAGTAAATTTTTTTTAATTTTCTATTAGCAATTATTTCTCTACCACAATTCAATAATTTTCATTCAATGCATTCTTCTAATCGTCCTCTTCTAATTGTTCACCTCTCAAATAGCAGTAGTAGTTATGAAGTTGACTATTACATTACCATTTTACTCATATTTTAATCATTTTTGGTTCAATTTTACCATCTTTTTATTCATTATCGATTTTAATTCAATTTTGTAATTCTAATTTCTTTTTATTTTTCTAAACAAAAAGTTTCTATGGTATTAGTCCATGATAACAGTAACAGTTAAATGATTACTACCGACATATTCTTATATAGGTAGTAGTTATTCATTTTTATACAAATCATATTCATAATTGATTTGAATTTAATTTCAAAGTTCTAAATTCCTCTTTGATAATCAATAAAATTAGCATATTTTAAGTGAATGCATAATCATATCATTTTTCATCATGTTTACATATTGCTTAAAAAGGTTATCTTCAAGGTTATACCAATCTCCTGAAAACTTTCCTTTTGTCCCATTCCAATTATGATCAAACTTTTCAGTTATTACTATCGTTATGCTTATTATTATTCGGTTGTTGGCTATTATTTGTGCTGATGGTAAAGTACTACTTGAACGGAAACATTTCCTTTGATCGTTTACCTTCGAAATATAACCTCATCTTATTTTACCTTAGCTCATCACTAATTTATGTTTCCTCTCCTTTTTCCATATTCTTTTCTTTCTTTCTTTCTTCTTACCTTCTCTTCTATCATTCAAAATTTCCTCGTTTATCCCCGTGTCCTTTACATTTCCGCTCCAATCGTTACTTATTACACATCTTCTCTTTTCTTCTCATCATCTTTCCTATATTGTAAATATCATTCACTAATGCTACCGCAATTATCATCATCTTTTGCTAATTTGGCAGTATTTTCAAGGTCAAGTTGAAAATTGACACTTCGTCTCGTGAAATTTTACGAATTTTGAATAAATAATATCATCATTCATAATGAAAGGGAATAAGCAAAGAGCAAAGATTAATTCATTAAAAGTTTTAAACAGTTATTACTAAATGTTTTATCATAACGATTAATTTAATAATTATGCAAATTTTGCTACAAAATAACTGTATTATAACTAAATAGTGTGTCACTTTTTTTTTGTTGAATTTTTTAAAATTTGTTGACCTAGAAAATGATTACATAATTTCTGTATAATGAAAAAGGAATGTATAAAAAAAATGATTCACGGTCATTCATACGATATGTCAAGTTCAATGTACACTTTAAGGCAAAACTTATGATAATTAAGGTTAACAAATGTTGTCTCTCCTAACATACGGTAAATTTAATTCACTAAAAAGTATAAGAAGAATAGTCATTTATTTAGAAATAAAATAATCGAAATTCGTTTATTAGCACAAAATTCGAATTACAAAAAGATGTTAATCATTCGAATTGACCCTGAATTTTTTTTATTTTTACTGTCAAACTTCACTTATTTATTCAGTTTATTTAAAAAACTTACTATCTTTCAAAATTTTTTGTATTTAGCAAACAATTATATCCTGAAATATAAAACATACATTCATACGTAAAATATATTTAAAAAATGATTTACAAATAAAACAGTACAAGCAAAAATGTAAATTATATAGTATTAAAGTGAATACTACGAAATTTCCATTTTATTCTCCGAGGAAAAAAACAAAACAAAATTGCAACTATAATGGTTTAAGAAATTTGTATGAACAAAATTTAAAAACAAGAAATAGAACCATCAGGTAGTAAATGAAGTTTTGAACTTTTAGGGACGTCTAGTTAAATAGGAAATTTTTGTTTTAAAATTGATATTATATTGTAAATACCATAAGTAAGGTTTTGGAAAAAAACGACTAATCGTATTGGTAATACAGGTGAAAGTTTTTAGCTTCTCAAGGTGCTCAATGTAATGAGAGTCTTTGTCCTAAAATAATTTTTATCATTATGGATTTAAATAATTAAAAACTTCTCGATGGTTGGTTGGTTGACTAGTTGGTTAGTTGGTTTGATGGTTGGTTGGTTGGTTGATTAGTTGGTTAGTTGGTTTGATGATTGGTTGGCTGGTTGACTAGTTGGTTAGTTGGTTTGATGGTTGGTTGGTTGGTTGATTAGTTGGTTAGTTGGTTTGATGGTTGGTTGGTTTGAAAATAAAACAATAATTTATCCAACAAATGATTGATTTGAAGGATGTAAAGAAGTATTTCAATTCCGATTTCACCCGCCGTTCTTTCACATTCAGGCCTTAATTTGCAAATTTATGCTTCGAATAATTGCTATCTTTGTATTAATACTCTGCCAATAAAACCACATTAAAATAGTGCATTAGAATTGTGTATGAGGCACTTATCGCTCCTCATTACAGTACTCTACATCTTTTCAATCTCTTTCTTCTCTATCTCATTTTCTTTCTTTCTCTTTTTCTCTTCTCTCCCCGTATTTTATCATTTCTCTTCTTCTTTTCCATCCACTAATTTTTGGAAATTTTCATTGAATAATTTCATCACCGTTGTTATATCTAACCCAAAAAAAAATTTTTTTTTTAGCTTTAAATAAAGCTAAAAAAAAACAAACATTCTGTCAACTCTCCAATTTTTGCATACTTTCTCATTAAATAGTATTGCCTTTTTTATCTCATTATACATACTATTTTCAAATGTCTTTTACGATTGCATTTAAAAAAAAAATGCAAAATTATGGTTTTATTTGGTATTATTCAATGTTACCATTAATTTGGTAAAGAAGGAATGAAAAAAAAAGAAGGAAAAAGGATGAATGAATGACTGAGAATGAGCTGAATGGTTGTTCGATAAGACAATTGCACCCATTGTCATACGGTATATTATGATACGATGGGGAAGATGAAAAAGAATAAGATGGGAGGAGGAATTGATTTATGCTGTTAGAAAAATGTCAATACTAACATTCTCCGGTAAACCGGATTCATTCATTACTTTCTTCGTCCTCTCTTTCATTTGCAAAATTAAATACGAATAAACACGCTTTGTTACCGTTTCAATGCATTGCTATTTCATACAACGGATTGAATTTAATTCAACCGATAAATGGTGGTAGAACAGGCTAATATCTCTTTAAATTATTTTCTGTATTTTTTTAAACACTTATTTCAGATTATTACAAAGCTTTCCTCGTTATGTTAAGTAAACTAACAAAAGCATATTTAAATACTAATATCGTTGAGTAACTCCCCATTTTAAAATTTCGCCATAGATCGATCAATATTTACCTGCTCAATCATTTTATAATATCGAAATGACAATTATCAGTTCATTTCAGATGTCCAATTTGTCATATTTATTCTCTGAATCTGAATTTTGCTAATAGCAATACCTGTTGATCAAATATTATATCAGATTAAATATCAATAAATTTGATATAATACTTGATTAAATTAAACACCAATTCTAATTCACAATTACAAAATTATTGTATTAAATGGGAAATATTTTAATTGGTGGATGAAGATATAATAGCAAGATATTGCTACATGTATTCCAGTAATGAATTCATCTTTTTGGTTGCCATCACCTCTACCGTATACAACCATTTATTGTCCACCAGTTCCATCATTATTCATCGGTAAATTTTATTCTATCATTTGATCATATTAACGATTTGAAATCCAATGGTGAAATCTTTACCGATTTGATGATGTCACTAAGTGATTGAGAATAAAATGAAATACTGGCCAAAGAAATGAATAAGGCATGATAAGGCAAAATATTCCCAAATGATAAAGTGAAGAACAAAATATTAACGCAAATTTTAAGATTTTAGGCATTTATTTTAGCATCATCTGGTATTTCATAAATTATTTTAACGTATTATGCTAATCAATTTTTGAATTGCAATCATATCTTCCTGCATTTTAAGCATGCATTAAACTTCACATGCAGAAATGTTCTCTCCTTTAGAATAGTAAAAAAGCTTTTTAGGTTGATTTTTTGGATCAAATTCTTGAATAAAATATTGGCCTAAGAATTGGTAAATTTTAATTTATTTTAATGTATCTAAAAACTGAAAACAATGTTAAAAGGATATTGTAAAATTTGGATTTTTTCTTCTTCTTAAATAGTATTATTTTGGAATTTTTCACTATTATACATTGATTTTTGCAGCTCAAGGTTTTCCGGCAATACTTCCTACGGTATTGAAATCAGCTGTTCCGCCATCATCATCATCATCATCATCATCATCTTCATTATCTCAGCAAATGAAAATTCCGGAATCAGCTCAGCAGCTAAAAAGTCCGGAAGCTATACCAAAACAGCGTTCGTCAAAATTGTTTCTCGTCGAAAGCTTACTTCCATCAGCCGTTGAAAAAAAACAAACTACGCCATCACCGGTATTTTTTTTCGAAATCTAATTCAGATTTAATTTAATTCATTTTAACCAGATTTATTTAAACCTTATTTTGGACTAAAATAATAGTTAGTTGGCGGAATCTCATGATACTTTATTGTTTCATTATATTACATTTCATAACTAATTATATTCATAACTAATAATTTAGTTCCAACCGATTTATATTTTCAAGAACTTAATTTAATATTTATCTTAACCCTGTTATTTTCAGTTTTTTCTTCAATTTCATACTCTTCATTTTATGTATATATTATTATCTAACTTTAGCTATTCTAAATCCCATTTTACCTAGTTAAATTTTAATTTTCTTCTAATTTTGGCACTTTTGGTCATGCAATAATACAAAACTAAGTGATCAATTTTTATTTTTAACAACCTTAAGTTCAGGTTCATTTGAAAATTCATCTCTCAAATATATTTTGCTATGTTTCAGTTACTGTACTTACTTGCTTCCTTCTGTCATTCTTTCAAATTCGTTTTTTTATTCGCATTTTTTTTCTGATAGATATATTTTTGCCTTTTTCCCTATGCTTTTGAAAATTTGATTTTATCACTTTTAAATTATTTCAAATTTAGTAAATTCATTTGTTTGCTCTATAGTTTTATTATAGTTGTGTTAGTAAGTGCATAGAAAAAATTGAGGTCACCGATTTTACCCATCCTATTATTTGAAAAATATTACTCAATGCTTAGCTATTTGTGTAAACAATAATATGCATTCATAAGTACCTACCATATCCTGTTGTTTGTTTATTTGATTTAAATTGTTGTACTTGTGAAAATTTACGGTAGGAATTTTATTCATTTTGCGAAATAAAGATTGTTTCAGACGCCTTTTTTCCCTTTCAAATTATTAAATCAAAAAAAAATACATGTTTATTACGAGTAATCATAAAGAAACAGTTTTGTATTCATCAGAGCTAATACTTCATCCCTTTATCCCTGTGAATGAGTTTATTCATTCAAAGATTTGAATACAATTCATTAGAACTCCTACCTCAATTCTTAAACAAAATGTTTCACAGTATTACAGTATCATATTACATTACTAAGTTTCCTGTAATATGAATAGTTTTTACATGATACAGTTGCATCATTCAATAATTTTTTAATATTTTTGTGAAAAGTATTTTTCTTACAGTTAAGTTTGACAACAGTAGAATGGATTAATGGTGGGTATGGTTTGAAGAATCCGATGCTACAAGGCTACGGTATACCGGATATTGATACTACTCCTGCTCCGGCTTCTGAACCTGGTTTACTGACATGCCGAGTATGTGGCAAAGTTTGTTTTATTTTTAATTAAATCAGTTTATTTACCCTTTCATTGATTATTATTTCATATTCATTATTATTGTTTTTTTTTCTCTAATAAACCACACTTCACTTTTAATCACTTATTTTGCTCAAATTTGTTTTGCTAATGATATTTTCATTGATAAATTTCGTTTATTTTTGTTGTTTGCAGAAATTTGCATTACAAAGGCTTTTGAATAGGCATGCAAAATGCCATTCCGAAATCAAACGATACCTATGCACATTTTGTGGTAAAGGTTTCAATGATACGTTTGATTTGAAAAGACATACACGAACTCATACAGGTTTTATTCAATTCATTTATTCATTCCAAATTTTGCTTAATGTTTTAATTTTAGTTAATTTAAAACTAAAATTGAAAAATGAAAACTATTCATATTTTTGATGGTAAATGTTGCTATCATAAATGGATAAGCAGTAATACTGAAAGGAAATAAAATTTTCGAAATATTTTTAAAAAGATAATTTACAAATAAGATAAATATTATACTGAAGATAGGTGATTAAAATAAACGGGTAATTAATAATTTGAAGAATTAAATTAACGCAGGTGTTCGACCATACAAATGTGATCAATGCGAAAAATCATTCACACAACGCTGTTCATTGGAGTCACATCTTCGTAAAGTACACGGTACACAACACAATTACGGTTACAAAGAACGACGAAGTAAGGTAACATTTAATTACTCCATTTAAAACAGGTAGAAAAGTGATTAAATATTGATTGAAAGAAAATTATTGTAATGGGGATTTTACAAAATTAACACAATATTGTTGTATTATTATAAAATAATTAAAAATTATATGTTATAGTTAAAGTAATTTAATCATCTTAAAATGTCCAAATGTGTTATCATAACAATAAAGCTTATAATAGCAATTAACTTTATTTAACAATATAAATATGAAGATATAAGCTTGTATATGTATTGCTTATCCGTATTACAGCAATGTCAATTGTATTGTGACATTTCTGTTCTGCTAATTATATTGAATATAGTAAATACTATTTGTTATACAAGAAATGAAGAATTTAAATATTACTAATATTTTAGGTTTTTGTATGCGAAGATTGTGGCTTTACGGCTCCGGTATTTGATCAGTACATACAACATTTGCAACTAAATCATCCGTTCAGTCCGCAATTAATCAAATTAACATCCACTGGTGCATTATCCAAATGTCATCGATCAGGCAATCATCGATCATCATCAACATCATTTACAACCAGTACTTCCGGAATTTTTTCTAGATAATATCATTTCACCAATTTTTCTTTCTTGTACAGATTATTTTTTCGATATTTTTTGCATAATTTTGTGTGGTAGTTAAAATTGATGCAAAAAACAACTGTAAAAAGTTTGATCGAAAAAAATTGATATTTTATAAATTTTGAAAGTTCATTTTTTCAAAACGATAAATTTAAAACTTTGTTAATTGTGTGTTAAAGAAAATGGTATTTACTCAAAAAAAGTTTAGTAATGCTTGCATAATTTTGTTTTAATTTTATGTTTTTTATTTTTCATTTTTGGCATAAAAATTGTCTAATTTGTTTGGAGCATCGTTGTTTGATATAAAATTAGGTGTATACACATATGTATTACAATATATGCATAATTCATCATTCTTCTGCTAAAATTCAGTCCTTCCAAAAAGTTTTTGAAAATTTTTTTGTTTGATTCCATTTGAAATTAATCATTAAATAAAATTGTGATAAATTTAGGCCTAGTAAAGTTTGATGAAAATTTTGAAAGAACGAAATGAAAAAGAAAAAAGTCCCAAATTTTTATTTATTTTCTGAATTAAACTTAAATTTTTACACTTATTACTGAGAATTTATCGAAAGAGTAAATAGCTACCATACTTTTATCACTTAAAATATCGCAGCTATGATAATGGATTTTTCTCACGATAATGAGTAAGCCAATCAGCAATGAAAATGATTGGATCAATTGGTCGTTGCAACAATACCTTCAACATTTTACTGCATTATATTCATCCACATCAATATCAATAAAAAATTCAGTTTAATTTGAAAATAAAAAAATTTTTTTTATGCCAAAAAAGAAATATAAATTTGAAGAGGAAAAATAAAAAATAAAAAAAAGAAAAACCTCAGTAAGTGCCTTAGTAAGAATAGGCGCAACAGTTCTTGCTAAATAAACATCATTACTGCATGTTGGTGATACGATTTCACTTAGTGTATCATATTCAAAATTATATCCATCATTTGCTTCATCTTGCTCTGTCGTACTTGCTGATATATCAGATGAACTTAAATTTCAAAATACTTTATCTTAATAAATAAAAGTTTCTTCAGTAATAATATGAGTAAACTATGCAATTAATCATAGCGAATAATAAGAAATAATGATAGCATTTAAAAGATAACTTTTATTTAAGTTAAAACAATTGCTTCTATATAATTAACGGAACAAATGTAATAATAATAATAAACACAAAGAGTACCAAAGAGCAATAGTGATAATGATAATAACAATAATAATAACAATAATAATAATAACAATAATAGCAATAAAATAATGATGTAATAATAATGACGATAAATAATGATAATAATAATAATAACAAATAATAATAATAATAATAATAATAATAATAATAATAATAATAATAATAATAATAATAATAATAATAATAATAATAATAAATAACTAATAATAAATAATAATAATA